TTGTTTGTGGGTTTAAGTCTGCGTTTGAAAGATTTAGGCAGTGGAGGCCTAAAAAAAACACACTATCTAGTTGCATCATGGGAAGTGTAGGATTCAGGGTTTTGGAGTCTGACCCACATAGGGACTAAAAGTCAGGTTATGTGGTTGTTTCTAAAACTATTCTTGTTTTAATCTGTCTCTCACAAGGCTACAGGTTTATAACAGTTGCATTAGTATCGCAGGAGAAACATTCGAAGACCTGACTTGGGGATCTGAACACTGTTAATGAGTGTTGTTGTCTAATATTGAAACTAAATGCAAGTTGCAGCCCTAGTTTCAATGATACAGGCATATTTTACTGTGGGATCAAAGCTACTGCTCTATATATCCACAGTGTAGGGGTCTCTCTGTGTGTGTGTGTGTGTGTGTGTGTGTGTGTGTGTGTAATGTTTTTATGTTTAGTCATTTTCAGAAAGACACCAATGACAGTTTTATTTCAGTTCTTGTTTTGAGTCTCTAATTAGGACCATCAAAGGAACTGAGTATTAACTGTGGGATAATAAATTGTCCTCTTACAAGTTTCAGTCCTTCTTTCCATTCTCACGGTGTCTCTCTCTCTTTCACACACACACACACACACACACACACTCAGGGGTAACGGGGTGGGTTATTCACTGCCTTTAAACTACATCTTGGATTCAGTTGGAATTCCTTTCCCCTCATCTCATTTCCTGTTGTAGCTAACCACTCTCCAGTTTTCTATCTGACTGACTTCTCTCTCTCTCTCTCTCTCTCTCTCTCTCTCTCTCTCTCTCTCTCGCCCTTGATTGAGTACACTGCTTGTATTTTCCTCCCTAACAACTCCCTTCTCTTTCCTTTCCTCAAAGCCTGTGTTTGCCAGGCCTGCTAGCACAGCCACTGAAAGCGTTCACGTCTGTGTATATCCTCGAATGTGTTCCCATCAGAGAAGATCAGAACGAGTCGAGCTGTAACTGTACACACGAGCGTGTCCGACTGAGACTAGCCAACAGGGGAAGAGGAACAAAGCTACGCGTTCAGCGTGTCCGTTACGTTGCTTCAATCACTTGTGCTTCCTCATTTCTTCCGTCTTCGCCTCCTTTTTCTTCACTTTCCTCTGCAGGAATGAGGCAGGGGAGTCAACCTTTTGTGTCAAAGCGCCCTGTCGTCATTATTTCTCTGCAGCCCCCAAATTTAGCGTACACACCACTTCAGCACACTCACACAGGTGTGCCTACAAAGTGTGTCTCTTTACACTGTTTTTTCTCATGAGACTAGGGCAAGATATTCTCCAAGGGCAGCTGCAGTGATGCAGTGATGAAAAGAGAAAGCTGCTGCTGTTGTTGTTGTTTTTTTAATTTACTGCATATTTTGAATCTTGAGGAGAGACAACGCACCGCCTCTGGAGAAAGTAAACGAGAGAGATGAAAAAGAGGATACAACCAGAAATAGAGGAAAGTGAAATTAGGTTCAAGCTAATTTTGAAAAGGAAAGTGAAATGGGCAATGTAACACAAGCCCGACATAGATAACCCCCCCCCCCCGACAAAAAATAAAAAGAATAAAACTGCAGCACATGAACCAGGATGAAAAGAAAGTAAGAGAGAAATATAGAGACATGCTGAGACAGAGGATTACACCCTCTGGTTTCATAATAAAGTCTTTAATCTAACGTGTTGAACGTCAGGTCACTGCAGAGGCTTATCCTTTCCTTTGTAACAGACTCACTCTCCATCAAACATAAACACACACATGCCATATCACCATTGCAATAAACTTCCCTCAAACTGACGAACTCTGCTGCTTATCGACTCATCCACAAAGACAACTGCCCGGCACTTCCTTCTCTCCCTAAACAGGAAGCTGCAAGATGTCACTCTGAATCTGTAACTGTGGTTATTTTTGTATTTTTGTATTTTTTTTCTGCTCAGGAGACATTACTGGAGGCTTTTGCATCTTTTAGCCTGATAAGTACAGACTGCATTGTAAGTCAAAGTGATGTTGACATTGCATGATAATGCATTTGGAAGTAGTGAAAGGGATTACAGGGTTTACTAATCCCATGTTATTGACATTTTGTCAAACCCCAAACAATAAAAACAATGTGGAAATCATGACAGGTACATGCCATTTCTGTTTGTTTGGTGTTTTCATTTGAAGGATGTTACAGTCTCATCCTCGGTCCACACGAATGTTTTCATTTGCCGCCATTTTTCATCTGTTCAGCGGATGTTTACCGATCTATCTGTGATGACATTTAATCATCCAATAATATTGCCCCGGTCGGTCTGTAATTCTCAGATGTTGCTTTTGTACTTTTAACCAACATTTCTGAACATCAAGTTTAAAAATGACTGAAAACTGAAGACAAATAGATTCACTGTTCTCTGTGATGGATTACTTATCTCAAGCAAGTTTCAAGTCTCCGCAAGTTGATTTTCACGCTGCTGCTGGAGGAAAAAAAGCTGAAAAAATGCACTCATCAATCTAAGAGGGTTTGTAGAAAGGTCAGCAGTAATGTAAAAAGAAATACAATAGTTGGAGTGGAAATGTGCTTACACATGTTTAACCACTTGAACAGTGTTTGAACTGTATGTGATGTACCTAGACACCTTACAATATATAAACTTTCTCCTGTAGCTTCGATTTTGGTCATTAAACACGCGCACACACACACACACACACACACAAAGAGCTGAGAAAGCTGTGGTAATCCCATTATGTTTTGGTTACTAATGGCAATTGAGCAGCAGAGGTGAATGAGGAGGATTACAGGAGGGAGACAAAATAAATGTGGGAGAATAAGCGAGAGAGAATCAAAGACAACGGGGGAGATGAGGGATAGAGATAGATAGGGATGAGAGAGACTTGCGTCATCGCTCTGCTCTCGCACATAAACAAAGACGGAGTCGGATTCTGTAACAACAAATTGAAGCAGCTGAGCGCGTGTGTTGTTTTACAGCTTGGGTGTCTTTTTAATTTGTGAATGAATGTTGTTGTTGTGTAAAGGTCCACATACTGTATAAATCAGCCTCCAGAGATGAAGTCATAACACCGTGTTGGGCCGCAAACCCCACAGAGAGACACTTAATCACCTCGGTTTGTCTCAGCGCGGTTTTACGTTCATCCTCTTTGTAGAATTATGGATCAGAGGTAGAGCTGTACCAGATAAGCTCTCTTTCATAACTGGCCATTTGTCACTCTTATTGCATATTGAAATTATGTATCTGACAAAGACTTTCTAGTAGCAATAGCCCAACGCGTATAGAAGAGCTAAAAAGATACATCTGGCATTTGTTCCTTATTTTTCCCCAACCAATTTCTCCAACTTTCCAAAACCGACATTAACCGCCACTTCACTTGAAATGTAAATCTGTAAAACAAAGCATCACAAATAAATAGTTTCATTTTTAAAAGTAATTTCCTAAAACAGCCGAGCTCTGTAGTTTTTTAACAATTATTACTCAAGCATGAGTAAATAGTGCATTTGTTGGGGACTACTTTTAGTTGTGGATTTATACACATTTAGTGCACTAGTGAGTATTTATGGCAGCAGGTCGGTGCGTGTGTGGGATTGACACAAAATAAACTACAGTGCCCATATTCATAACCAGGGAACATGACACCCAGTGATATGGTGTTGCTCATATATGGGGTTTTAACAGTTTTTGGACAGTGGAGCTCTATGGCACAGAGGAATAAGATGGATCACGCTATGAAGAAAACAATTGATTTCAACAACAACTTTTCATGGTTTACAACAAGACAAATATAGAATATCACAATGCGTAGCCTTTAAATAGTCACAATTCAGTTCAGGACCTTTGCTTAATTAACTGATTGGTCTCATGCCTGCAGAACAAACCTACCAGTGTGTAAATAAATCACAGGTTGTATCCAAACAGTGCAATTGCACGTTATTGAGTGCGTCATGATGTGAATGTGATAACTCACCTTTTTTTTTTTTTTTTCCCCACTCCTTTTCATTGTTGCAACACTAACTTTTCCTTCTCAAGTTTTGAGAAAACTGGTTCTGTGTTAGGAGTCAGTTCTTGTGCAATCCCAAACATGAGGCGTCAGAGCTGGATGACTGCAGTGTAGTGTTTACCATTCACAGAATTCTTTTAAGGTAGCAGAATAAAGAGTTCAGGATTTCTATGGTACAGTATATCTGACTTGTTTCCTAGTGCAGCAACAGAATTTTTTCTTATTGAACTGACTGTAGGAAGGATGATTGGCTCTTTCTAAAGTTAATATTTGTGTGTGTTAACACCCCAAAACAAAAGACCAAGAAAAAAAGCTACACCAGCGTTAGATTTTCACTGCATTACTTAGTTTTTCTAAAGCCCTTGTTCCCAAAGGTAAATAATGGTCACAAGAGGACAGTATTGTTATAAACTTTCTTTTGTTATAATGTTTTTGTTCTTGGTAAAGGCAAGAGAGTGGACACTTTTTCCCTTTTAAAATTAAACAATTTGCGTGCGTGCGTGCGTGTGTGTGAGTGTGTGAGTGTGTGTGTGTGTGTGTGTGTGTGTCTCAGTGGGTGGTCGGACCACATTCTTGTCAAAGGGAGTGCTATCTGTCACACATGTTTGACGAACAGATTGGGCTTCAGCGGGATTCAGGAAATGTCCCACGCAGATTCTTTCATTCACAGATCTCACAACACACATGCACTCACACACTCACACACTCAACACATGTTATTTGTGTGTCTGTTTCAGAGAGCATGTCTTAATATTTTCCCGCCCACTTTAAAAGAAGTGAGTCTACCTGGCAGAGCTAAGCTCATTATGTGTGCAGCGGTCAGATTATTCAAAGCTAAAACTAATGATGTGAACTTACATAATACCATTCCTCTTTAAACTTTGCGTGCATGCTTTCAGTGTTAATAAATAAGTAATCACATACAGCGGTGTGCCTGAATAAACACATTGTTACTGCTTACAACAGCGTTTCTAAATAATAACTGCCCGCTCTCCCCTCTCCATTCTCTTTGTGCAGGAGAAGCGAAAAACATCCCTCCGTACCCGGGGCCAAACAGGATGAGGGACTGCTACTGCACCGTCAACCTGGACCAAGAAGAGGTCTTCAGGACCAAGATCATAGAGAAGTCACTTTGGTACGTTCAGGGGCCCTCCGCCCTTTTTTGTTTGTCATCCTTTCAGTCCGTATATAGAGAAAGGTGCAATCGTGAAAGTCCAATTATAATCACTTTCTTGTCGGTCAAAGCTTAAGGTTGAGACGGTACAAAAGTGAAAACACCTTTTATTCACAAACAGTAACTCCCTGCCTTTATGAATTGATTAAATGTTTAATTCACCAGGCTAGAGCTGTAGTTTTAGTTATAAGTCCATCTTTTGTTGACAGAAGTGATGCTATTGGACTTCAATTGTATTTAATAAAGATGAAAAAAAATATTATTTACAAGCTTGATCTAATTTTGTATGTATTTAAATTCTATACATTCTTTGGCCACAGAATAACTCTGTATCAAGGTGTTATTATAAACACAGCAGACTTCTGTATAGATAGTGTAAATATATCATCATATATCAAACCAGACTAAAGAGAAAATGCCCGAATGATGAAGTACTGTATTACAAGGGGAAGTTTTCAATCACACAGTTGACAACATTGAATTACATTTATTTAAGGGTCCTGTATTTGTAGGATTCCTCATAAATGCGGCTGTGCCTGCCTGCCTATCCATCCACCAGCCCTTTGTATGTCTTAATGTCTTAATGTCTGAGGAGTAACAGATGAAGTCAGTAATTGTCAGCAGCGACCCTGAGGGCTCAGCTCACGAGATTCTCATTGCAGTAATTCATCGATGACCGTTGTTTAGGTAAGGCAGAGCATGGCAGTTTATGTATCTTCCAGCCAATGGTCACAAACAGGCCTATTGTTGTAGGCAGGCGAGCTGCAGAGTCCACATGACTCATGGCAAGATGTAAATGCATGTGATCTTTTTCTTATGTCTGGCCAAGGGACAAAATCAATCATCTTTGGGCAAGACTGATGAAAGAATTTTGTCTGTGATGTTTGTAGGTTCAAGTGCAAGTCCCGATTGACACACACAGTCCGACAGCAACACTAAAAAATATTATGGTAGAGGCAGGAATAGTTTACAGATTAACAATCAATCAGTTAGTTAGTTAGTGGATAAAGAATGAGTGACAGCACGAGAATTAGAGGTTGTTCACACAACATATTCACATGTGATTATCGCACTTTAAAGCTGCTTTGAGGAATTTTCATTTTCTGTTGTTTTTGGCCATCCCTGTGAACAAAAGCTGTAGTTTTTTAGAGTCCCTTTAGAAAACCTCTCGTTTAACCGCAGCAGGGTCTGACAGTGTGCCCTGCTTAGTCCTGGTTCTGGTTGTCCCATGTCTCTCTTAACTCCAGCCGGCCCAGCAATACGTCTCGGGCCTCCAGCAGCTGCCGAGCGAAGGCTGCAGCGAAGCCGGATCTGGGCCCGTCCTGCTGGGGTCGCTGCTGGAGGCCCCGCTGGAGGCCCCGCTGGAGGCTGAGCTCAAGGAGTTTCTGGTGAACTTGAATGAATTTGTCTGATTTTACCAGAATTGGACCCGGTGGCACCGATGACAAGCATTTAGTATAACTATACAGCAATAGACAATCTTCTCACTGATGGTTTTGTTTACTTAGGTCATAAAGAGGCATCAGTATTATATTGAGACTGTTCCATAACCAGTTAAAAGTTCCTGATAGAAACTGTATCTTGCTGGCTGGACAGGGCATCTCCTTATTTAAAAAAAAAAGTATAAACAGTTTTATTTTTCCTTTTAGACAGTTATTTTTTATATAAAAGCCGCCACTTCATTTCTACAGGAGATTTTGTTTTCCTGAGTCAGTTCCCTCTTTTTTCCCCTCACAACATGCTTTCTTCTCATTGTTCAACAACTCAATATGTCAAACTTAATTTGTGGCGAAACATGCTCAATCAGACAAACGGAGTCTCTAATCACAGCTTGCCTTGTGTCTCCTCTCGCCTCCAGTCCATTCTATGGGGAGGACTTTTACTGTGAGATTCCACGTAGCTTCAGACACCTCTCCTTCTACATCTTCGACAGGGACGTCTTCAGGAGGGATTCCAGTATCGGTGAGTAAACAGCTGCTGAAGTCACTCTCCCTCTGTTTGTGTTGGTATCTGAACTTCTCTGTGCTTTGTTTGCATTCTGCATCAGCCGCTCATCCTCAGCCATGTTGAGAGCCGTGTGGAGGCAACCTCTCAGTCATAGAAATGCTTTGAATTTGGAATTTAGCACCTTTAAAATGTCAGCATGAACCGTAGTTCAAACAATAAAAAAATATGTAAATGTCTAAAACACGGTTTCCAATGTCATGATCGACAGAAATAAGGAAACTATTTTTGTATTTTATCAGGAACAAATGTTGATAATTTGCTGTTTTTCTGTATTATATATTACTGTAACTTGCACTTCGGAAATTGTGGGAGGGGCTTTTCACTATTTTCAAATATTTCATAGATCAAGGGATTCGATTAATTGATATTGAAAATATTGTGTCGATATTGAAAAACTGTTATTGCTAAAATTTAGCAAAGCAATTAAGTGGTTTCCCAGCAACAAAACAATGTGCCTGCTAAGTAATATCACTGTTAAAAATGAATGTTAATATTTAGTGTAATTAAACATTTATATCTATAGCATTTTTAAATAGCATAAATATTTTATATCTTAAAATATTTAACTGTTAAATAGGTTGAAAAGGATCCGAACAACCATTAATTGCAGTCAATATGTTCAAATGAGTGACTTTGTAGAGGTGAGATACAGACTTTGTTATCTTTAGACATAACCAGGCTAGCTGCCCCTTGTTGCAGTCTTTAATGCTAAGCTAATAAAACCAAGAATCACCTTGCACAAATTGTCGAATTATTCCTTTAGGTGCCCTTACAGTTACACTTTTAGTACCAAAAAGGTGTGTGTCTGTTTGTGTGAGGGCGGATGTTTTTCTCAGTGTCATTGGGTGTGTCAGTGTGCATATTGGTGGGTTTGTATTTGTGTACGTGTGACCAACCACAAACTGAAAAATCGTTCTCAGGATGTGATTTGTATCATCAACAGCTCCTGTGTGTGTGTGTGTGTGTGTGTGTGTGTGTGTGTGTGTGTGTGTGT